TCATGTCAAACGTGAAACAATGATCCATGTTATGTACTTTCTTATTCAGTATACCAAAGGCATCATATATATATATATATATATATATATATATATAATATTATACCAATTCAAAACAACCAGATCCCACTTAATATTTAAGAATTAATTGGATGTGTTTTAAAAGGATTCATGTGTGGTGGATCTACAGACCAGTTTGAGGTAGCTTCAAGGGTTCATTGACTTAAATGCTAATAGGATTAAAGTGAAAGTGATATTTATTTGAGTTGAATCCAAGCAAATATTTCATTTCAAACATATTTCTAATCAAATCACTTGTTTTTTAATTAATGACAAGCTAAAAAATACACTTGAGAATCAAAATCAGTATTTTTTTTATGGCTTTCAGGAGGGCACCTTAACCCTGCGGTCACGTTTGCGCTTTTTCTGGGTAGAAAGGTGACCTTGCCGAGGGCGTTAATGTACATCTTGGCTCAATGTTCGGGTGCGACTTGTGGGTGTGGTATGGTTAAAGCTTTCCAAAGGGCTTATTATATCGGCTATGGTGGTGGTGCTAACGAGTTATCGCAGGGCTATGGCCGAGGCACGGGGTTAGGGGCCGAGATTATTGGTACTTTTATCCTTGTATACACTGTTCTCTCCACCACCGATCCCAAGAGAAACGCTCGTGATTCCCATGTTCCCGTAAGTATATCATGTTACTCTTACTTTCATTTGGTTGAAGAGTAAAGTTTATCAAGTTATTTAAGTTTCGTGTTTTGGAATGCCAAAGGTATTGGCACCATTGCCTATCGGATTCGCGGTTTTCATGGTTCACTTGGCCACAATCCCTATAACCGGAACTGGAATTAACCCGGCTCGTAGTTTGGGTGCTGCAGTTATGTACAACAAGAAGAAATCCTGGGATGATCATGTAAGCGTCATTTCAGATGATCAAATTCAGTGTAATGTACAATTTTTATGACACATCGTACGATATTGATTATGTTGTTTCAGTGGATCTTTTGGGTCGGACCGATGGTCGGGGCAGCCGGAGCACAATTTTACTATGAACACATTTTACAAGCGCATTTGACGCTATACCACCACCACCACCATATTACGCGTTGAAGATTACGGTTTTTCGTCGAGGACAATTTGTCTTACAAATTTATCTAAAAGAGTGATATTATCATATTAGGGTTCGAATACGGTACCACTTTATTTCAATAGGATATGAATCTAAGCTAATTAATGGAGATAACGTTGTAGCATCTGCATTTATGTCTTTTATGTTTAATGAGAATTACAAATTCATGTATCATTTAATACTTGTAAAATATGTAACGAACACAACATAACACATATTAGTTTTTTTTGAAACATAACAAATCTAAAATTAAAAGCTAAAAGCTAAGAAAACGACACTAACAAAACTCAGGTCTAACATTAAAAGCTAAAAACATAATTAAAAGCTATTGCATGTTCCTATAAAGTTTATAAAATCATGATTGAACGGATTGAACATGTATATGTGCATTTTGTTTAAATACATTACCACTTCACAACAAATTTGATTTTTGTCTTATATTCAATGTAAACCACCTTTAAATACATATTAGGTGTTGATTGTATATATATCTATACTATATTATAAATCATTTGATAAAAATTCTTAAAAACCAATTTTTATGTATGGAATATTGTTTATTGATGCATATTACTTAATTGCAAATTTGCCACCCTCTCAATCATGGCCCTTTGATCAAATTAATTGAGGGTTAGGATTGTTTGCAAGGGGTGCAATCTTTTAAGGGTTTGTATTTGAAGGTCTCTACATACACACACATATATACACGGATTACACAAATATGTTCAAATGAGAATGCTAACTATTTACAAAAACAAGAAAAAAGTTGTTATTGTACAAAATCATATGTGAGTTACATATAAAATCATACATGATATATATATATATATATATAGGGGTCATTCAAGGGAGAACTGACTATTTTGTGGTAACCGTGAGATCCAATCTCAACCACAAATCAATAGATAAATTATGAAATTTTTTATTAAAATTTTAATGCAAGAACATTTTAGGTATTTTCTCTCCTCTCTCCTCTCTCCGTCCCTGTCTTCCGGCCACCGTCCTTCGGTGATACCACAGTGTGATACTCAAACACATATAAGATGTATTGTGATACCATTGTGTTACATCTCCGATCGACCACACAAACGACCTCAGTGTGATACCCAAGCACATATATGATGCATTGTGATACCATTGTGGTATCATCGGAGAACGGTGGTCGGAGGACGAGGGACGGAGAGAGAAGAGAGGAGAGAGGAGAGTTTTAAAATATCTAAAATGTTCTTGTATTAAAATTTTAATTCAAAATTACCAAAATTATAAATTTTCTAATTTATCTATTGACTTGTGGTTGAGATTGGATCTCACGGTTACCACAAACTAATTAGTTTTCATTTGATTAGGCTCACATATATATATATATATATATATATATATATATAAGGCTGAGTTCTGATGAGAATGAAAGTCATGATGAGAAAGGTAAAAAAAGAAAAAAAAAATAGTTTGAAAGAGAACAATAACCAAACAAGAGAACATGAAAATAGTCAAATCATGTATAAAGTCACATGCGATTTTACAGTCCGTCAGTCAATGCAAGGGAGTGCAAGCCCCATGACATTATGTCGCAGCTTATATCGCGTAAGTGATTTTAATAAAAATCAAATATGATTCGATTGTTTTTTATTATTATTTTATTTGATTAACTTTTTCATACGAAATCAAGTGTTTATATATATTTAAAAATGTTTGATATGACAAAACAATTATCAAAAAATAATTACTAATTAAATATATAAGAAGATGATGAAATATTCATATTTGAAAAGAAAAATAAACATATTTGTAGAAACAGACGAAGAAGAAAGGGGGCCAAGAGACATCTGAATGCAACCTCCAAATATAGAAAATCTTATTTTTCCGATTATAATATTAATAAACATTAATTTTTCAAGTCTTAATCCAGACAACCCACATGCATATTTTTAGTTTTAATGAATTAATTGTATGTATGCAGTCTTTTCAGCTAGATTCCAGTTATCTACCTCTACCTCATTATTATTACTATTGTTTATAACAATAAGTTTGAATATAATGTATTTTCAAAAAATATGTATTTAGATTATAATTTCTACAAAGAATTTCAGTAAAATAATTAATATCGAAATTTCTAAAATAAAGTATCTAGTCTTAATTTTCGGTTCTCTATTTTAGAGTAGAATTGATTATTACAATATCTTTTAATTTGAGTACATATATATGTATGTCTGTATGAATTAGTTCCATTTGATAGAACAAATCGTATATTTGTTTTTAAAATGACGAGAATGATCCTGGAGAGGGGATGGTGGTTGAAACTTCTAGTGCATGCATGATGGGAATGGGATAATTAAAGAGGAATGAATGCATTGAATCCTTTTCTTGTTTGTTGCAAATAATACATTGATGGGGTGGATTGGCTTGGCTTGGCTTGGCTTCCTTCGTTTCATTTATTATTTTATATACTACAATTCCATCCCACATGGGGTGCCCACAGCCCTGCATTTACACCATTTCACCACCCATTACTTCCCCCTACAAAGTTACAACCAATCACACACACACACATTATATATATATATATATATATGGAAAGGTTCAAATGAGAACACCTTCATTTTATAAGAATGCAAAAACACTTTCATATATATATATATATATATATATGAGTTGGTTTCCTGAAAATTGGTTTGTTATTATTATGAGGAAAGGAAATGAAATGAAAGAAATAATTGTTATATATTTGAAGGAAATAAGAAACAAGATTTGTGGAGGGACAGAACACAAAAACCACGGTGATAGATAGGGGTGGGCAGCCATAGCAAGAGACAAGCTGACAAAGCAATCACGTGCTCCGTCAACGTCTTGCATCACTTCCTAATTTATGCCACTTATCACACCATATTTACAAAACTATCCTCCTATTTTATATATATATATATACACAGTAGAGCGTTCAAATGAAAACTGTTCTCATTTATATAAATTGTGTAAACCAATCTCATCCATCCATTTTCTTGATCAATGATCAAGATTAGTTTACTTTGTTTTAAGAAATTAAAAATATATATATTAAAATTTTATTTTTATATTAGCAATAAGAGCAAAATGGTAAACAAAAATACATATTCTGCAGCATCCTATTGAAGGACATTATTCTTTATTTTAGGAATTAAAATTTTCTATTTGTTAGGAAATAATTTCGTTAATACATCAGCTTTTTTATTTCTTATCCTGAAATTGTTTCAATGTCCTTCACACACCCATGTAAATATGCACCCTATTCATTATGAAATTATTTCAAGACGCACCGGTTTCATCATGAATCCATTTCAGCATGTAATTATTTCATGACAAACCGCATACATTATGCACACGTTTCATTTTGCATTTCACTACTAAATGGATCAACTACACCATCATCGAAACGGGATTCACCATCAAACCATTTCACCTATTTCATGTACATTAATTTTTTTATTTCACCCGTGATTTGATGAATTCATTTCTTTAAGCCTTACAATCTTCAAGATTCTGGAGCAGATTACAATCTTCAAGATTCTGTAACAGATTACAATCTTCAAGATTTTGTAACAGATTCATCATGTACCCATTTCATCATGCAATTATTTCATGACGAACCAAATACATTATGCACCTATTTCATTTTCCACTTCATCTACTAAATGGATCAACTACACCATCAATGAAACGAGTTTACCATGAAAATGTTTCACTACTCATTGTTCAATTATGATATGAACCAGTTTCACTTTCATGAAACCTGTTTCATTTGTATTAATTTCTTTTTTCAATGATGATTTGATAAATTCATTACATTATATCTTACAATCTTCAAGATTCACCAGCAGATTCAATCGCGTCACAATATATTTAGTTCAAAATTTTAAAATTATTATATAATTAAATATTTAAATGTTACCATTTATAAAATTTTCTTTATTACGTTTCCTTAATTAAGATTTATTAATAATTTTCATATTTAATTGAAAATATTGTAAATAACCGAAATACCCTTATTGATTAAATTTAATTAGAAAAAAATGGAATTTTCCTATTGATCG